CTCTAAACCATTATGAATTTCTTCTGTGGGGAAAAATATCTGAACAGCTGATTGACACTAACATTATTTACATTTCTGTATGCCAATGAAGAAAGCAAGCCATATGGGTTTACAACGACATAAAGGTGAGTATATGATGACAGCTTTATTTTTATTTTTAGGGGAATTAGGCTGGTAATGCACTCATGTTATGGCTAAATACAGACCTATGCGCCCTATGCGCCCTGAGATTTCACCGGAAATACGTAGGCTGCGTGCCGTGTATAGAGTCCATTTCCAGACCAACTTTTTTCAAACCCCATCCGCGTTTTCAGCATCGCGGAAATCATAGGGCCTTACAAATCAATACAGTAAAGTTAACAGCCTGGCTATGTAACTTACCTGCACTGGTGCTGGGCATATTTGCATCAGGAACTTTGTCAACTGTACACTGTACGCTTTTTCCACATGTGCTGCAAAAAGAAGGGCAGCTTTCAAGCGTAGCCCCACACAATACATTATACATTGCGAACTGAAATAACGCCAGGGAGCAAGCAGCGTTAAAACGATCAAAGCAGGTTCAGACTCCCCGGTGGCGCCCGCGAATACACGTGACATGCGCACAATTGCCCATTTCTGCAGACCAACTGCCCCCTAGTGGTCGGGAGCATTTCCGTTGTGTTGTAAGCTTATGTTTGCTTTCGTTGTGTTGTGTGCTTATGTTTTTTTTTTTAATGGTGTTGTGAGCTTATGTTTGCTTTTTTTAATGTCGTTGTGTTGTGAGCTTATGTTTCTTTTTTCAATTGCGTTGTGTTGTGCTGGGCCACCGTACTGTTTAATGGTATAATCATAAATAGATAAATAATATAATGTATGTGTGATTGTGTACAATTATTTATGAAAAGATAAGGCATTCTGAATGGAATATATATATATATATATCCTACAGGCTTCAAGTAAAGCCAAAAACAGGGCAACCAGAATAAAGAAACACGTAACAGAAAACAATCAACCAGCAACTAAGGACACAGAAACCCGAGCTTATATGAGGATGAGTTAGCAAGATAATGAGACGCAGCTGAATGTAATGAGACTAGAATGTCAAAGCAAAGGGTGATGAGAACTGAAGTCCAGAGAAACAAAACAAAGCTACAAAGTGTGCCCTCTAGTGACTATAAGGGGCACACCAACTAGACTCTGTGACATTACCCCCCCCTCTACGGAGCGGGAGCGGATACCAGACGCTCCACGAAAAGTCAATTAAATAAAGGAGGGAGGCGGAACGGAGGTGGACCAGGGGGAGGGATGGTGGGCCAAGCCCATGTAGAGGCCCAGAAACAGAGGTAAACTAGATTGCCAGGGCAGAGCCGGCAAGGCAGGAGGCCAAGGCGGGGCCAACAGAGCAGGAGGCCAGGGCAGAGCCGGCAAGGCAGGAGGGCGGGGG